GGATAATTTAAAAACAACATAAACTAATGGCAGTATCAGCGGGTGCACAGAGCGTTGTACACTCAGTAAACCTACAAATTACAATACATTTAAGTATCAAACGTTATTTGTACATCTGGAAAGAAAAATTTGTTCTGATCACAACTTTATTCTGTTATCATATGTTTCTGTTATCATATTCTGTTATCTTTATTCTGTTATCATAATACATTTTTTTTTAACTTATCGATACCTATACCAAAAACGAATATTTCATTTTTTCTTTCTCTTTTCTTTTTTTTTTTTCTTCTGCTGTCTAATTTAGGCACTCAGAATGTTTGTCTTTTACTGAAAGAGGTAGTTAAACAATTATAAAACATAAATAAAATAAATTAATTAGAACGAAACATAATAATAATAATAATAATTTTTTCAGCAAAATTCCAATTATTTGACAGCAGCAACAGGAGCAGCAGCAGCACCGCAACCACCAACGGCAATAGAAATAGCAGTAGGAGAAATCAAAAAAAAATTTTTTTTTAGTTTTTTCTTTTGTTTTTCAACTACTTTACTTCATAAGTAGTCAGCATAAGAACTATTTAAACATTTGAACAAACTTTAGCTTTCAGCTTTACCATTCTGTTATTTCTTTCAATTTCCGTCTCATCTCCAGCAAATTAAATACGCACTTGAACGGTTTCCCAAACCACTGTGGAAAGTTACAATGACTGGCCTGTACAAAATGCCTAAAATAGTGTATTAAAATTAGCTGAAATAACTGCAACTAAAAAGCTGAAAAGCTGAAGATTAGACCAGGAAACTATGTGATTTGAGAGTTTATTTGTTAATTTGGCCTGAAAAATTCTCGCCAACGAAGTAATGCTCAAAATTTTTGTATTTATTACTTCAACTGTATCACTACCTCACTACTATCCAAATGTTTAACGGTTTTGTTAATGTTGTCTATAATTAAAAACAATTTTGTTAAAGATTTCTGTAACTGAAATTCCTCTGTCAAGTACCCATCTCGTCCAACAAAAACCTTCGACCTCAACGAACCCAGTTCGATAATGAAGTCGACGATGAACTACGGAAAGTGGATACTGTTAAACTAAAGATAGTACACAGTATATACAATTTTTCATCTATTCAACTATCTATGTGTATTTCTTCAAGAATTGTTATCTTTAAATAAACAAATATCAATATGTAAGCAAATAAACTAAATAAAACACAGCGAAAATATTCTCGAAATAGTGGCCTCCCGGTCCTCCAAATAATTTACCACAGTAAAAAATTTGTTTGCACAGCCAACCACATTTTAGCACGTTTTCTAGCAAAAAAAAAACAAAAAAAAAAAAATTATTCACCAACAAAATTACAATTACTTTCTTCAGCATAACTGTAGTTTATTTTACTACTAAAAACAGAACAAACTTTTGAAAAAATACATTAAATTGCGAATAAGTCACAATTGACTTTAAAAACAACCAAATATCACATTAAAAACTGAAAGTAAAAATCAAATTTTTGTTTATATTCGTCAGAAAGCAAGTTCTTCTTTTCTTTCTTTTTGGTAATGTTAATCAAGAAAATTACTGCTTCTTTTCAATTCAATTTCTTCTTTTTTCCTCATCTTTTGGCTCTTATCTTGAAGCGCTTTATAAGTTTGTTGGTTAAGCTTCAACTATTAATGTGTGAGTAATAGTTATTTGTACAATACAACCACAGAACACAAGCGATGCTTTTCATTGTCCGATTTTGTGGTTGATGAGAGGGGAGGGCAAAAGGTCAGTAGCGGTGGCAAGACACAAAATATAAAACGTCAAGAGGGCATTTGAAGAGCAGCAGCTGTTTGTCGGCCAGTTTTTTGAACATGTGATTCATGCAACATAGTTCATTTGTTTTTATATATTAAAAAAATTTCTTTTCTGTCCGTTTATCAGTTGGGGAGAAAGGGAACTGGCTAACTGTTGTTGAATTTCAGGTAAACAGTCGCCTATCAACATGTTACAGTAATGCAAAAAGCTCAAATTTTTAACCTCCCATTATGATCATAAATAAAATACAGTAAGAGTTTTATTAAAGACGATGTAGTAAAGAAAAATTAAAAATTTTAAGAAATTGTCTTTTACTAAAAGCTTTCATGCTTAATTTACCGCGACGCTTAAAACTGTTCAACTTTGTGTTTCGAGCCACAACTGTAATATGTGTTTGCTTACAAAAGGATTAATTTTGCTGATAATGATTGGCACTGATTGGTATTGCATTTCAGCTTGGCTCTATTGCGTTGGTCAAGTTTTTCTGTCAGAAACTTTAGTTGGTAAAGTTTCTGAACCACTGTATGGTGTATGCAAACTTCTGCTGTAATTTTGCTATCCTTTACTATTTGTAAGGATCATAAAATTGCTAAAGATTTTGCTAGAAATGTTTTTGCCACAAAACAGTGATCAGCAGTTAACTGGCACTGAAGTCTTCAATAGAGAGTCACTTTAAATGAAATAGAGGTTAGGCCAAAAAAGTACATTTGCATGTAAGAAATCATTGAAAGACTAACTTGCAGTAAAAATTTGACGGTATTTCCCGAAGACATTCGCAGAAATAGTCATCACATTCGCGCTGTGTCAGGCCACAGTCTCCGTAACATCTGTCATGTTGTAAGCAGCAAAAATTAACTGAAATTTCAATAGTACTGTAGACACGCTGCTTTTACAGCAGTCTTTTATCTGTTATAATAACACTAGAAAAAAGAACACTTATTTTTATTTTTCCTTTGCAATTGTTAGCGAAACATATAAAAAAAAGGAAAAAAAATTTATTTTTTGAAAAGAAAAACGGTAATTTTTTAATGTATGTTTTTGAATGCTTTTTGATGTAAATGTGTTTATTTTGTCAAATAATTTGAACAGAACAAAAAAACAAAGAAATAAACAAATAAGGATAAGGCAATAAGGCAATAAATACACTCTTTGTCTAGATTAAAGAAGGAAAAAATTGGTGGTAAAAAAAGAAAATTTTCAATAGAACGGAATTCTGCACTGTTGCTGCCTCTAAATGTAAAAGACACTCTTTACTAATCCAATAAAAAATGCATAAAAACTTAATGGCTTCTTGGTTGCATGGCGTTGTAAAAAGCTTTGAAATTAACTGTGTGAATAGATTATCGTTTGGACCACAGTAATATTCAGTTGCTATAATGCTCGGAATCCGTATTGCCGACAAAATCATCAGATAGAGTTGCATCTGATCCACCACTATAAACATGCTGAAATTAGCGAAAAACAATGAACATCATTAGTAAACCTTTAAAATTTTTGCTGTACTAAAGAATCTTAATTAAAAATAGCGAAGTTTTTATTCCTATAAAAAAGGGGAAAAAGGAAAAATAATAATCCCTGTCGAACAAAGCATACGACACTGAGTACGAGAAAAATGTTGGATGTTGAACGTTGCTTAACTTAAGCTATTCAAAACGTTCATTAATTTATAAATTTCCCTAATAAATTTCCCTACTCATAACCAAAACTGAAAGGCTTGATCACACCTGAAAAAAAATAATTTCGTAATTATGATCAAAGCTTAAACAATTTGAGATGGTCAACATCTATAAATTCAAAAGCAAAAAAGACATATTTTAGAATTTTTTAACAATCATTAAGTTCCTACTAAAGAAGTCCTTAAATCCACATTCTATCAAACGGTTTTCTTGATAAAACGCTGTCATTTTTCACGATATTTGAAAAAGAAATCGCTTTTTTTAGCGTTTTCATTAAGCCTTTTTTCAGAACAAACAGTAAAACTGATATATAAAACGCAGAAACTTTACAGCCAAAATTTAGCAGCTAAAAATCAGTCAACCAATCCAACTATTGAATATCAGTGTTACGGTTGATGAGTCCATTTTTGGTAGTTCGCTAATAACCAATAATCCGTTTGTTGCAGTATTCATTTTAGACAGTCAGAACACATTGTAACTGCTTAAAGTAAATAAAAAAAAGAAACACATGAATGAAAAAAAAAGAATTTCAACGACTTTTTAACGAACAATTAAGTAACACTTCTTTTCTGCCCTTTTCTTCTTTTTTTTTTTTTCTTTTGTTATCAGCGACCAAAGTAGAGTTTTTTGTGATCCACCAAAATTTAAAAAATTCACTCTTCTTTTAACTAATCAAACATAATGATGTATTTCACAGACCAAAACCTTATCATAAAATTTTATAACTGTTTAAAGTCAAAATGCATCGTAGTAATAATGAAGCTACTAATGTATCTTCCCGTTCAACATTGCAATTTTCAGAGCACATTCATTTACTGAAAAAGAAAAGATTTCTTTGAAATATCTTTATTTATTCATTTATTAAACTCGAATCTGTCACAGCTGTAAAAAAAAATTAAAGAATAAAAACCTATCATTAGTTAAAAGAAGATTGAAAATTGATAAAGACATGAACCTTGAAGCTCTCTTACAGCAAAACCTAAAAAAAGCTTCGCTGTTTGAAAGGTTCAAGCTTCAAGCAGAAAGTGTAGATTGCAATAGAATAAAGTTCATCACACTGTCACCGACACTAATAAAGTGTACCCGATGAGAAGAATTGATCACTTTCAAAGCGGCTTAATATTTCAATTAAGAAAAAAAAAAACAAATGACGATAATAATGTTTTCAAGACTCTTCAAACAGAATAAAGAAAAAAAGAAGATAAAAATGTATCAAATTGGCATCTTTAATGTCAATAGGGATTCATCTGATACCTCTTGTTAGCAGCTCTTTTTTCTGCAGACTTCAGATGCTTCAACAAGTATCTCGTTCACTTTTTTACCCTTCATTCGAACAATTTTAGTATATTTTTTTTAAAAGTTGTTCACTTGTTGACTGTTTACTCCCGATAATTTTAATGTATCAAAGACTATGATCTTCTTAATATCCTTAATAAACCAATGTTTTGAATTTTTTAACCCGTAAAGAGGTTTTAACTGTATGCTTTTCATCATTTATCGTCTGTTCTTTTTTCTCTTCTCTCTCCAGCAATTAGTTTTAATTAAAAAAGATCATCCTAATATTTCGCAAAACTATACTTAAATTGATCAATTTCAAAATCATTTCATTTGAAAACTAGCCTCAACAATTAAAAATAAATACTATTATACCAAGACAATAATCAAAAGCGATAAATGAACTAAGCTACTTAAGATTAATGAGCGGTTGATATGACTAACTAGTTTTTCCTTGCAAAGAATTCACAATTGAAAAACACAGTTTTAAGCTTTTGCAACAGAAATATTGCTTCTAACTTCAAAGTTCCAGCTGCCTTCTTTCTTGCTTGTTACGCTCTCCCTGAAGAGTGGTATCACCAAGCCTGTTACCATTTACTACTTTATAAAAATTTTATCCATTATGTTTTGATCGTTCTTTTGCTGCCATTTAGTAACTCAGTATTCATAAAACCACAGTCAGAATGGTAGAAGCGAAAAGGAAAAAGCGGAATACAATCATATCGTACAGCATGTTCCTTCGTGAAGATGTAGAACTTAAGCACAGTTGTAAAACCTAAATCTTTCATTAAAATTACTTCATATGCACTAAAAGAGCGTAATAATCATGAAAGCCTATGCAAGAAGTCCAAACGTCTCATTTTTAATTGTTACTGAGACCTCGGTCAAGTTAGAATTCAAATTTCTCTCTAACAATAAGGACCTTCAATTTCTTTTAATTAGTGAGTCGTTCATCTTGAGTTACATGCGATTTCTAACTAATTTATGTGCCCTACTGAAGCCGCTATTGCGCAAATGTTTCTGGATTTTAAGATGTGTAAAATTGACGTGTATATAACATTGAAAAGTTTTTTTACCACTAGTACCACTTGTACTGTGGTAACAGCAACTTATTTATAAAAACACGACAACTCTCGGGGCCAAGCTCAGCGCTTGTAAACTATTACACGTCGCAGTATCTTTTGTAACTATGTTATAACTACCAAATACTACAAACCTGCTTTCATCCCCTGTGTCATAACCTATAAATTTTCTTTAACCTTATTATCCAGTGTTTTACAATGATTGAGCCTCCGCACGTCATCCACTGTTTTCACATAGAAATAAACCTGCTCCATCTTTTCATTCGCTCTCCTGCAGCGCCAATACAGAAAGGTATCACTGAGATCGATCGCAAAATGAACAAAAAATTCATTTATATAAATCGTATTAGCCAACGCAATTTAAAAATCCTATTTATAAGTATGAAAACGTTACCAAAAAATATACGCTCGCTACGCAGTCACTTTCATACCTGGGGTTTTGTATCCTTACACAACACATCCAATCTCCCTCGCTTCAAAACTTTTCCTTAGTTTTAAATGGTTTTTAAAGTTTACAATTCACCTTTATTCATCTCTTAAAAACAATTACAATATTCTACGATCAAGACGGGAAAAAGTTTCTGGACAATTTACACAGCCCTCTCTTCTCTTCCAGCAAACGCACAGGAATAATTTCTACCCGCATCTACTATACCTGATAGTAATGTAACCAAAAATCATGACAAATCCAAGATTTCCACATTAGCTCACAACAAACAAATATTCAGCTATTTAAATATACATGCTTCTTGACAAGACAGAAATCATTCCAAAGATAAATATTCTGAACTGATACGTGCTAGATACCAGTCTTCAACGACTAATCAGCACTGCACTAGAAATGGTTTGCCCAGATTGAAAAGTCAGACGTATCAGAAAAAACCAGAAGCCGTACCAATGATAAATAAAAAAGAAAAACCTTTGTAAAAGGCTATAAGACTAATATACCAAAACTAGTAGAACTTTGGGGAAGGCTAAGAAACTAATATACCAAAACTAACGAAGTTACAAACCTCTGTAACTTTCAAGTGCAGATTAGAGCACAAATACCTACTACAAAGATTGTCCAGTGTGACAAATAACAAAATGAGGAGTAAAACACTTAACAAAAAGCTGCAAAATAAGCTTATTAATTACCATAAATAAGCAATATAACAACTCCCAAAAAAAGTAATTAATAAAATGCATAACATTCTTACCCTTCACATGCAGTGAGGAATGAAAAAATTTCATTGAAAAAAAAAACAGAATGTGACACAAATTTCTGTAACTCTACATTAAAATTTTCAAAAAGTTTTGAAGCTAAAATGACTTATAAAGTTCAGCTAATGTTTCCAAGCAAACGGTTAACAAATATAAATTATGTGAAACAACTAGAACGAACTTACTGAGGTTTGTTGCAAATTAGGCAGAAGTTTTATACAGCAAAAAGAGTAACCAGCTTACTTCCTAACCTAAGAAAAATCGAAACCAATTATCAAATAACAAAAAGTTGTAAAACTCACTAAAACTTTAGTAAAACTGAACAAAGTAGTAACATAAAATTCACTCTGAACCACAGTAAAGCGCTGTTACACAAGTCTTGTGATTTTTGAGAATACCACCCAAGCTGAGAGAAAAAAAAATCAAAGATAACAAAGAGAGAAAAAAGTTTATAAGATCAAAAAACTAAACACTAATCTATAATTATGAACAAATCAGATGTTATAGAAAACTACCCTACGCAACCTAGACAGAGAAAACAGAAGCAAATTTTGACATAAATAGCAGCAACACAAATTAGAATAATAAATCTGCCCCTGAAAGAACTTACGCAGCAGAAAAACTAAGTAATTATTTCAAAATTGATAAACTGGCGAGAAAATAAGAAAAACCTAGTTCAATAAACTTCCTAAAGAAGATGAAGACACGGTATTTAAACTAAATATTAGCTATAATCCCGTAAATTTGCATAGTTTTTTAAAACGATTTTCTGCAGTGAACTCATTTTACACGTACTCAAGATTTTCTTTGCGTAATGTCCGACTGACATTTTCAATTCAGTAGCATATTTCCCTACCACCTCGAGGCAGATGCAAGCATGTTCCCAATTACCATCATTCAAAGCATTATCCATGATTCTGATGACATCACCAGCAGACGGATAACCTGAAAAATCAAAACTGCAAGCATTAAAGTATAGAACATATTGTCTGGATTATTGAAAACTTTTTACAGCGATTAAGTTTTCAACTGCCAGAACCAACATACAGAGTCGCATCATACATAAGGGTCCTAAAATTTGTTTCTCTCAATTACCTGGGTTCTGAATAACAAAATTAATATTAAACATGGTACCTTATTACATTAAACTAAATACGCCCTAATAACTAATACAAGTGAAATTGTCACAGCCAAACTACAGAATTTGAATATCAGTTAAGAAGCACCTATTGGCGATACTGTCGCATCTTCTCCTTCAGTAAGTTTTTTGTCCAAAATAGTCTCAAAAAGTTCCCATGCCCTATCTTTCTCACCCACAGCCATTAGCATCCGGGCACATAGCGCGATCTAAATCAGTAAAAGAACAAGCGTCAAGAAAATGATAGTACTAGTAGTAGCGATAATGATAATAATAATAACAATAATAATAATAATAATAATAATAATAATAATAGTAATATTGCAGAAGTACTAAATATGCTTTAAAAAGTATATATGAAACACTTGGCATATCTTATCAAGTATGCATAAGAGTATTCGGCTCATTTATGCCGTGAATAATCTTGAATCACCAGAATCACGACAGTATCAATTCCAAAATTTGAAGTACTGAATAAGAAACAAAAGCTTCGAGCAAAATGTTTTGGGACCTTCTACTCTTCAATCTCCAATTTGCTTTAGAAAAATTAAAAAAACATTAATTCGTTGACTTAATATCACGTTTATAATTGAAATTAATAAGTCTGTCTTGAGTGGTACTAGCAAAACAATCAACATAAGCTGGCTTAACTCTATTTTAATTTGTTCAAATAGTGAAAAGCATTTATATGCCTTAGAATATCAAACAAAAATTAACCGATACTGAGATTTGACTAAAATAACCTAGAATAATGGTTAAGTATTCATAACTTTCATAAAAGTACATAAGAACTGAGACTGTAGCCAATCAAAAAAGATTAGTTTAAAAATCATAAGTAAACCGTGCGTGGGGTCCATTTCTTCTGTACGTATCCAGAGTATCTACTATAGTCATTAAGCACGTCAACAATTCGGTTTGCTAAAGCACGACACTCATCACGCTCGTCAGGCGAAAGAAGCTATAACTTAGTCATTACTTGGGAAATCCTTGGCTGTTACAGTAATCTTAAAGAAAAAGTAAAAAACGATAAAAAACCGTAAAACCTAAAACTTTTACTGAGCCATATTATTCAAAACCTTAAATGAAAATATAGATTTCAAAACTTACTTTAAAGTTCAAAAGAGAAATAACCGAACAAGACTTGACAACAGACATATTATCGAGGAAATGTCTAGCAGCTATGATGTCCTCGATCACTCTTCGCAACAGAGACCACTTGTAATCGCGCTAGAAATATCCACCAATGAAACACCTCCTAATCTCACTAACAAACTTATACAGGTAAGTCATATATGACATTAGATGTAAGGAAAGTAGGACCTGCAGTCGATCTAACATTTGATGGGCAATATTTCGGGACAAACCAACAATACGCGGAACTAAACTTTTGTAACGCTTCTCCAAACTTTCAATTGAAAGCATTGGAATTGACACTTGCAAGTAGTATGCATAAAACCTTGAAAAAATAAAGTACCGAATAACTGCAAATAGTTACTTCAAGATAACCCAGGTAAAAGTAAGGTTTCAATACTAATAAAAACAACACAAGTATTTTAATAGTATCTTACATTGAATCCAGTAAATGAAAACCATTACTTAGGTTCATCTGATAGTTCTGGCAGCTTTGCTTTATTTTTTGGCGACTCATATAATGTTTTTATCCTTTCAGCCAGCAAATAGTTTTTCGCTGAATAAGCAATTTCCATTGCATCCACAAAGAATAACTGCTCTTTGGCAACAGCGGCACAAATGCTTTCACAACTTTCCAAATTATCAAGAATTTGCACCACATATGTCACATTTAATTTCTACAAGAATAGATAAGATAAAAGAGCGTAATTTCTCAAAAAATAAACCAGATAATGCTAAAGAAAAATTAGCGAATCTTGGAACGGCAATCTTCCGTAATAGAAATTAGCTAAAAAACCTTATCTGATTTTGAGTGAGATAATTTAAGCAGTTCTCGATAGGTACTTAATGAATATTCACATGAACATTTTTTTGCTTCTTGAAGAATTTTGCCCACTGCGTCGGCATGATCCACCGAATTATCCTCAAAGGTACATTACTCTAATAAAATCAGTATTCACAGGTCAAAAAATTAATTAACTGAAGAATAAAACTTATAATCAGTAAAACTGTTCCTTTTAATTAAATGCTATTATAAAAAATCGAGCTTTCAATAAGTTATACGCTTTTAATGATAAAAGTACCACAGTATTTAGAAATTTATGTCTTTCAAAGCAATAAAATAAAACCTTTGCACGAAAATTAATCTGATAAACTTAGGAATAACCGAAATATCTGAAAAATTTTCAAACGGCTGTTTTGTAAATTAAACCCTATTTGAAGTTTTCATCTGACTAAAAAAAGACAATAACAGATGTATTAATTAACTGTTAAAAGAGCGTGAAGAAGACTGTTAAAAACATGAATATTTGGGGATACACGGGCAGCAGACATTTCTTTGCATATAAGACATGCATCTTCAAAAGATTTCGCGTTTTCAATTAAACCGCAAAAAGCTTCGACGTGCGGTGTAAGTCGTTCTTCCTTCATTTTCTAAGAAAAATATCAATTAACATGCAAGAAAAAAAAGGAGTATTAGTATTGCGACATTCTTACTCAAACATAGAATAACACTACAAGAAATTTGTATAACTTAACACCAGGATATTATAAGGAAACTGAATGTCGCTAGTGATCATCAAGCGAATATTCTTGTTCCAATCTGTGCAAAAAAACTCCTAGAAGCAAATACCCTACATTATTTACATAGAAGTAAAAAAACCTCATATAAAACTCTGGCTTTTTTTACGGCACTACTAGAAGGATACTTGCATAAACCAGCAATCATAGCGGAGTAAACATCGGCTGATTTCTCCGTTGCTTCAAACAATAAGTCAGCAACACCGTCCTGAAACCCCAAGTCATCAAACGCTAAGTTGATTGGTTTTCATAAAAGAAAGATGACGTCACAATAACAAATTTGACCATACAATCTTTAAAACCTCCAAAAAATGATACTTTTTCGACTATAAAACACCAACAGCATTACCATTCTCCAAATATTAAACAACAGCAACTCAGATTGCAGAAGAAAACAGATATATTAAAAAAACCAAAGAAAAATTGTATAAAAACCTCTTCAAATGCCACTGGTTGCTCTAAACCAAGGCCAAAATTTCTCATACCATGCCACTCTTCCTCTTCATACGAAGGAGCATTTGATCCGTTATAATAACATGTCAGAAAAAAAAGTCGTTTCTAAATTTTGAGTATAAAGAAGACTTGATTTAAAATAATTAGCTCAAAGCTTGAACTCCAAAAAAGCCTCCTACAGTGAAAAGTCTGAAACGCACCAGTGTGTCCCTGCTAACTTCAACCCCTTCGGTTGACATCCTCTCATAGATCGTAATAGCATCTCGAACCCTCTTACTGTCAAGCATTTTCAAGAGATTTTCTTCAGTCGGTTTAGCAGTTGCCGCATCTAGTTCT